TCAGCAGTGTACTTCGTCGATCTGCCTGTTCTGCTCCCCACTCTGTTCCTAGTGAATCCTCTCACCCTCCGCATCTCTGGCCTGTACCCCAGTTCTGTATGAACAAATAAATAAATCTTTAAAAAAAACAAACTAAAGCCAGTTTGTGGTTGCTTCGCTGGCTCTGTTGACTGTCTGCCTTTAGTGGTCTATTTCTTACATTCATTCCTTCTGTTTTCATAAGTGGACTCTCTTTCTTTTTTGTTAATAATTTTTTTCAAAGATTTTTATTTTTATTTATGCATGCAGAAATGGGGTATAGGTCAGAGGTACATGGACGGTGAGAGGATTCACCAGAAACAGTAGGAAGCAGAACAGACAGATCCACAAAGTACACTGCTGAGGGGAGCAGTAGGCAAGAAAGGAGAGGTCTGCCACACCATGGGGGTCACCTCTGGGACAGGGATTGAACTCGCACTGAAGTGGCCACCACTTGCCTTAGTTTCACATTCCAAGGCTCCAACCCACTAAACCACCAGGGAGGGCCCAGGACTCTCTTTCTTAATGAATCCTAAATAATACTACTGCTACTTAAATATTGACTGTTGAATCACCTTCCTTTCATTTTATATGGAGCTCCACTGCTTTAATATAACAATAAAACATACTGAACATTTTATCAGTACCAGGCAAAAGCACTTAGTAACTAAGCAGAGAACAACTACAACTTTAGTCCCTGGCTTCTCTTGGTACCCCACAGAGGTTTAGCACAAATTGTCATTAATCCCTTTCGTGGCCCAGACACTATACTGGGTGCTCCAACCAGAACTGTAGGAACCAACTGTGTGCTCCCTGAGAAAGGGATGGAACTTCTTGCAAACTTTAGCTTCTAGGACCTCTCCAGGAGACACTTCTCCCGGAGACACCCTTCTCTCTGGCTTCCCTGTCCTAGTGGGAGTATCTGTAAGCATTTGACTTACCTCAACATCTTGGCTTTCCACCATCTTGCAACTGACCTCCTATATTAAATCCCCTCTACTTGAGGTTAAGTGTGGTTTATGTTTATCTGACGGAACTTTCTTTGACTGATGCATAGGTTCTTTTACTTAATTTCAGTAAGCATCCCAGTGACTCTAAAAAATGGCCATTTTATTTTTTCCAGTTCATTTATTTTTATATTTATTTCATCTATACTAAGTTTATGAACCACCATTATTAGTACTACTTTTCATATCCTCTTGTTCTTTTTTGAAAATAATAACAAATAAAAAAATCATCAATAGCTGCACAAATACTGTTTACAAAGACAGAAAAGCTGCTGACATGGAATTTTATTGGCAGATAATGATTCATTCTGTGATGATTTGAAATGTTCTTCAACTGATGCATGAAAGGCACACTTAGCATAGAAAGGTGATTGATATGTGACTGCTTAACAATGTAAAACTTTTGATACTCTTGTATGTGCATTCCTGCAACGGAAACAACATCTTTATGCCTGACTCATACCACTTGTGTAATTAGAATTTTATTGACCACCTTGATTCCCTTGCCACTCATCAGATGCAGTGTTTTTCATGTTATGCAAAGGCAAATGATGAAAATAAACTGTCCTAGGTCATAAACTGTCTAAGCTGGCCCCCTACGATGTCTTCCCTTTGAAGTGTAGCCCCTTTCCCTTGCTTATCAACCAACCTGTGAATACAATGGAGCCCCTGTCATGATTATGTCACGTCATATGGCAAAAGAAACCGCACATGAATTAAGACCCCTCACCAGCTGACTTAGACTTAATCAAAACAAAGGTTATCCTGGATGAGCCTGACTTACTCATGGAAGCCCTTTGAAAGGACTGCATCCTTCCCCAAACCAGGGCTTCAAAGTGTGATGAGAGGAAGAGGGTTACAGGTCAAAGGCCTGAGAGTGACCTCTGGTAGCTGAGAATAGCACTCAGACAATAAACCAGAAAGCAGGACAGTCCTACAACGACAAGGAAATGAAAGTTGCCAGCAACCTTGCATCTTCCTTGTGTACTTCCGGCTGAGAACGCTTGATTGCAATTTTGTACGTTACTAACCCCTTTGCCTTGTATGATGCTAACCTGTGCTGGACTCCTGACCCATAACAGTGTGAAGTAATAAACTTGTGTTAAGTCACTAATTTGTGCTATTACACAGTAATAGAAAAATAGTATTATCAATGGGGGGGGAGTGTAGATTCCATTTGAAATAGTGGCAAATACATAATGGTCCCCGAAAGAAATATATGAGATCTATATAAAGAAAATTGTAAACTTTTTACTGATGCATTAAAAGAAAATTTGGAGAATTGGGGAGATAAAATGTTTAAAGATATCAATCTTAAAGGAGTTTTTATGACAGATAAGAAATTCATAATGGGAACAAATAGGAAAAAAAATATTTGAACAGAAAATAGGCATACGATTTGGAAAAATCTCCAGGAAAGATACTCTAGAAATAGCTCCCAGGACTCTAAACAAATCCATAATTTCTAACTAGAGCTAAAATCTGTAGTGGTGGAATGGACCTAAGTTTTAGACCGAGAAAACTCAACTGGACGGCGACAGTAAATGCTGATATGTAAGATATGTGACTTCGCAGATCCACAGAGTATAAAAACAAACATAGGCTCAGGGAAGTTAATAACTTGTGATCATTTTAATAATTGCAGTAACTTGTGATAATCTTACACCTGCAGAGAGTGCCTGTAAAAGACTGCGTGCTTCTTGGAGCTCAGTCAAAGGAAACATTTCCGTTCTTAACCAGTTGGGGTATTGGTCCCTGGGAGAATTGATGATACCTGTTTCTTCCTCTCACGGCCTTCACTCCACATTACCACTTCTCAAGGGCCACCGCCTTCCGCGAAGCCTCCACCTGTGGCTCCCCGACGCCGGGGACCCCGCTCTCACAGCAAGCAGCTCCCTCCCGGGATGTGCGGGACCCGCGGGGTCCCCGCGGGCTGAACGGCAACGGCAGGAGGGGGCGGGTCCGACGGTCGGCCCGCCCCAAGCCGGCCTCGGGAGGGGGGCTCTGGCCAATGACGGGATGGAAACTTCGGATTCCAGATGGGGCGGGAGGCTCGCGGGTGAAAGGCTCATTGATGCCGCCTGCACCCGCCTCGGAGCACGGTGGTTCTAGACGCTGATCACCTTCGGGCTCCCGAGCCTCCTCCTTCTCCTCCGGCTCGTCGGCTGCGGCGAGCCATGCGCCCCCAGGACCACGCTGCCCCCTGCCCGCAGCGGCTCCTCGGCCTCCTGCTGCTCCTGTTGCTGCAGCTGCGGGCGCAGTCGAGTGCCTCCGAGACCCCCAAGGGGAAGCAAAAGGCGCTGCTCAGACCGAGGGAGGTGGTGGACCTGGTGAGTGCTTTGAAGCGGACAGAGCCGCGAGGAACCCTGGAGACGTCAGTCTAGGCGCCGGGCGGCAGGGGAGGGGGTGATGCCTGCACAGCTGGGTGCCTGTGCCTTGCGTGCGCCCGGGTGTCCCCCTTTGTTGGGATCTCGTGTAAGGAAGGACCTGGGCTGCGCCTGTAGTGGAATCCTGGAACGCCAAAGGGAGGCCAAAATGAGAGAGGCCATTGTGAAGGCACTTTTCGACGTGGGTCAGGTGGGAAACCCCAAAGTACTGGGAGTCACCTAATAATTTCTGGCCTCTGAGACCCCACCTTGGGAGGGTGGGGAGGGCCAGTGTGCAGTGAGAGGGGAATGAGGAACTTGGGTAGGTTTCAACAGGACGTAGGAGCTGCCTGGGAGACCCTGGACTCACTGATGCCTGGGTGGGTCTGGGTCTGGGCCTTGCAACGTGGCCTTTGTTGGGGCTGGTGGCCACGTCTGACTACAGTGACTGCAGGGGAGAATAACCCTCACAAAGGATCGTCCAGCTCTTTGTAATTCAAGACTATGAGTCATGTTGGGTCATCTTCCTAGGGATCATGGACTGCAATTTACTTTGTTGGATGACCACAGCTGAGGCCTGGAAAGGTTCAGAGGGTTTAAGGATAGGGGTGGGGGCAAGGATGAAGGGGCCAGTTAACCCTCCAAAGACCCTTCTCATCCTTCCAGTAGACAGAGGGCAGTCAGCCTTTGCAGGCATTCTAAATCTTCAGCCTCTGGCCATCAAGTAGAAGCATCACAAACGGCTAAGAGAGACAGTTTCCACAGCGCCCAAGTGCTCTGGAAAGGACTAATCTATGCAAAGCCTGTTTGCTTAAAGCAGTTTCCTCTAAAAGTCAACAACCAAGAGGAGCAGAGTTTCTCTACCCCAGGGCAAGAATGAGCCATTCACGACCAAACCACAGTGTTCCTCCCAAATCAGCTTCAACCCCTAAGCCAACCTATTTGCAGACAAAAGCAGTTTACAGGCATCGCAAGACATACAAGTATATATTTTGATGTTAAAAAATGGTTTCAGATTTGTTGTCAGTGTCAGCTAAGTTAACAAGCCAAACTCCTCTGCCAGTTTTATGACAGATTCAATAGCTCTGAAAAAAAGATTCCTGCCATTTCACACTGCACTTTTTAGCCATGTGTTGTGTAATTTTCTCCACAAAGTAGACCCTGTGTTCAGGGGCACTGTCTATTTTAAGTGTCTATATTGCTAAAAACTGTACCAGATGGTTGTGGTTTATGTACAGTTTGCATTTTGTGAATTTGTGGTTATGACACACAGAATGCCCCATTTCCCCTGTAAAACCTGGTATATTCCCCTCCTTTCCTCCAAGGATTTACAGTTCCTGTGATTCCCCGTAACTGTAGCCCGATTTGGAAAAATTTATTGGGCAGCTGAGTTCAGGTGCGTCCTGTAGATTAGGTTTGGTTTTGCTGGGGGCGGGGGGGGGGCGGTCTACATAGCCATTAAGAAGGTTTCAACAGTTGTAAGCAGCTTCTTTGTACAGGACCTTGCAAAAAAGCGTTCTTTTCAAGCTTCCAGCGGCGCTGCCCCCTGCTGGCCAGTGACGGAAACAGGGATTTATCCTGCAGAATGAGCATTTTACAGTGAGAGAGATCGGGCATACTACCTGTGGAAGCGAATCCAAAAGTATGTGATCTCTGAAATAAAGTTTTCAGATTAAAAGAACGAAGAAAATTCCTCAGCCTTGGCACTGGGGGCAGGGCTTTTCTCTGTGTGGGGACTCTCATGTACATTGAAACGCATTTAGCACATTTCCCTTTAGGTGCCAACAGCAACCCCGTCCCCCCAAGTCCCAAGTCCTTACCACCAAGAGTCTCCAGACACAAGTATCCCCTGGGGAACAAAACTGCCCCCAGTTGATAATTACTGATAGACAGGAAGAGAAAACTTTGTGAACCTGGAGGGGAATCATGGTGAGGGGAAGAAAATCACAGTCTCCATTTTACAGAGAAGGTGACATGAAACGCTGCTTCAGTGTGCTATCTCACACAGCCAATAAATTGTGGAGTCGGGATTAAAATGCAGATTACTTCTACCTTGTTGAAGCGCAGCACCATGAAGCTGCAGCATGAGTTCGATCCCCAGCCAGGGAGGTGACCCCTGTGGTGCAGCAGACCTTCCTGTCTTCTCTGATCCCCTCAACAGTGTATCTCAGTCACTCTGCCTATTCTGCTCCATATACTATCTCTAGTGAATCCTCTCACACTCACTCCCTGCCCCCCATCTCTGGCCTGTACCGCAGTTCTTATATGCATAAATTAGTAAATCTTTTTAAGCATCTGTTTAAAAAAAAAGAAAATGATAGTAGAAGTTTTACAGTTTCTCCATTCATATTTGAAGTCTATTTTCAGTTATTACTAGTGAAAGTAAATGAAATTGCTAAAATGAAAACTAAGTCTAAAATAAGCTGTTTAGAATGTTTTAGACTTTAGCATGTCTTACTTCTGTGGTTTTGTTACTTTTCTGTTTTTTCACAGTCCATAAATGCCATGTCTTTTTTTTTTTTTTTTCTCCTTACAGTCAGGGTAATGGCAATGGTCAAAGTCACAAAAGCTATTTATCAAAACACAGATCAAATTGGTGATATGAGAAGGGGATCCTTAGGGCCTTTCCCAGGCAGTACCCTGGATTGTACCGTCCAGCCAAGTTCAATTCCAGAGGGTGAAATTAAAACATAAGCTTTGAAGTTCTTGTCATGTATGTGGAATCTTATGTTTTGGTTCTCACCACTGAAAAATTTGCCCAAGTAGGGGAATTTTTTTTTTATAACAGTTTATTTTTACATCATTTTGTACACTTTTTTTTTCCATCTCACTTGTAATCCCCGCGGGTTTCCCATCACCAAGTCACCCTTGTGCCATCACTATAGTCCCGTGCACTTCCCTGCCCCCACCCCCGTTTTTTATCCCATTCCCCACTCCACCCCCACAAAATGTCTCTGGTGTATGGCTGTTCATTATTCTTATTATTTTCTCGCCTGGTCCATTATACTCCTGCTATGAGTGAAACCATCCGGTATTTTTCTTTCTCTTTCTGGCTTATCTCACTAAGCATGATCTTTTCCAGCTCCATCCAAGTTGCTGGAAAAGACATGTGTTTCTTTTTTTTGGTTGCTGAGTAATATTCCATTGTGTATATGTACCACATCTTTTTAATCCATTCATCTACTTTTGGGCATTTGGGCTGCTTCCATGTTTTTCCAATTGTAAATAAAGCAGCAATAAACATGGGGGTGCAGGTATATTTTTGAATCAGTGTTTTTGTGTCTTTGGGTAGATACGTAGGAGTGGGATTGCTGGGTCGTAGGGAAGCTCCATGTTTGAGGAACCTCCAAACAGTTTTCCATAGTTTGCATTCATAGGGGAATTTTTTTTTAAGTTTAAATAAATTGGGTTTAGGGTTTGGACGATCTAATGGAGCTAGGTAATTATGGAGCTGGAGATACCTATAACACCTTTATCACTGATCAGACTTCACCCGTGTCTGTGGTGGTTATGGGTTTTAGCTGACCAGTTTGCTAATACTCTCATTCTCAGAGGTAGACCCTGGGGAAGTCCATGCAAGATGTGGGTACGATTGCCCAGGGCCCCTGCTTCACCCGGTGTTGGGAGAATAACAGGAATTATCATGACTGACAGAAGTGGTGTTTATTGTGCGCCCGACACATTTTATAGATTACTCACTTCGACCTCATACAAATCCTACAAAATAAGAATCTTTATTATTTCCCCCCATTTTACAGAGAAGGAGACATGAAATGCTGCATAAGGTATACTATCTCACATAGCTAATAAATTGTGGAGTCGGGGTTAAAATGCAGGGACTCTAGCTCAAGACTCCTGGTTCTTAATGTTCACATGACACCACTCCCACCTCCCAGTTAAGAGAGGAAGAATGCTAGCACTTAGAATTGTGATAGATTACTTCCACCCTATTGAAGGCGAGGCCAGGTGTTCTATCCTTATCTAGAAAAGAGCTGTTGAAGTCCAGAAGTATTATCTCAGCGATGGCTCCTCTCCCTAAAGACAGCTAGGAGAACCAGATGTGCATGTCTAACTTAGAGATGTTGCCAGTGTGAGACAATTATTGCCTGGTAAGATTTTATTTTATAGATTTCTAAGAATTCATCTTAGAAAAAAGCTATAAAGCTAAGGATAAAAAAACTTTTTTTTCATTACAACAGTACTAATGTTAGGTTAAAAAGGTACAACCTAACTATCCCCAAATAGTGCAATGTTTGCATACAACTGTAAAATGAATTTTGAAATCCTTGTCCTTTTACAGGATACTGAGTTTGAAATTATTTCTACTTGGAACACAACTCTTTAAAAAAAAATTAAATCTGCCTTTAATGAGCAATAGAAAAAGCAAGCAAATGAAAACATTATGTCTTTGTTGACATGGTGTGTGTGTGTTTAAAGTTTGTGCAAGAGCAAAAAATCTCAATTTTTAGAAGGAATTTAAAAATCAGTTTTCTGTACTAATTCATCTAGAACACAAGCAAGTAGAGTGAAGCGATTCTGCTTTCTGAGGGCACCAAGTAAATGCACTAGAAGTCAGATTGAGTCAAATTGATGCTTCAGTGGGGGGTTTCTCCTTTCTGTTTTCCACTACAGTATAATGGAATGTGTTTACAAGGGCCAGCAGGAGTGCCTGGCCGAGATGGGAACCCTGGGGCCAATGGTGTTCCTGGGACCCCTGGGATCCCAGGTCGTGATGGATTCAAAGGAGAAAAGGGAGAATGCCTGAGGGAGAGTTTTGAGGAATCCTGGACACCTAACTACAAGCAGTGTTCGTGGAACTCACTGAATTATGGAATAGATCTTGGGAAAATTGCGGTAAGTAAAATCTGAATTATTTTAAATGTGAAGCAAACTTAAAGGTTTTTATAGTGGGGCCCTCCCTGGTGCACAGCGGGTCAAAGCGCAGCACTGCAAGCCAGCGGCAGCTGTCTCAGTGCAAGTTGGATCCCCAGCTGGGGAGGTGATCCACATGGCAGTTCAATCCCCGCCCCAGAGGTGACCCCCAGTAACATTTCAGAGCTAAATATATAGGGTATTTTGAAGACAAATGAATCATCAGATTAATTTCATCTTAACCCAACTTTTTTTTTAATGCCAACAAGAGGGAGTAAGCCATTTTCCAATCTTGTCCTAAAATGAATTTAAATTTAAACTAGTCTTAACAATTCTATTGTGGTTCCAAGAGTAGAAAACACTTTCCAAGATATTGCTACATGATAGGAATTATTTGAAAGTTGGAAGTCCATTGATATTTATCCTTATTCAGGATGGCAGCCCCACCCTAAAATGGGTAAGCTTTAAAATAAAGTGGAATGGAGCAGGGATGTACTACAGTGACCATTTAAAATTATCCCGCAACATTTGAGGAGGGAGGAGAAATTACTCTAAATAGCATGCCTGGTAATGCATTTTGATTAATGATTCAGTTGCTGTGATTAGTGCTTGCTTTCAAAAGAACTGGCAAGTCCACTGGAAAGGCAGCACTGAAGAACTTGAGCTATTAATAAGCCTCTTTATTTTTTTGCTGCCGAGCATCACTCCAGATCCAGGATATAGTGCTTCTTGATGTCAACCATTCCTAGGCTCACGCAAAGACCAGAGGTTTTATTTATTTAAATTCTGTAGTTTTGGTTATTGAACATTTTTATTTTTATATGTGCTTTCTTAGAAAGCATTTTGTTAAGATGTTGCCTACATTGAGCATCTGACATTGATGGACTGGTTGTCTCTAGTTTATCAAAAGTTGCTGAGTTCTGTTGGAAAGCGATCGCTGTGGACTGTGAATTATTAATGTTTTCAAAGTTCCTTTTAGCAGTGGTCAGGATGGGTTTGGGAGCTTTTCAGCAAGTAAAAGATAGTGGGACCATGAGCTGAAAAATGTATGTTGCAAAAAGCAGTTTGAAAAAAATAAACCAAAATCAACCTGGGCTTTATAATCATCTCATAAGTGAAGACTAAAAAGATCCTACCTAGGCCCCCCTGTGGTACACGGGTTAAAGTCTCAGCTATGAAGCTGTCCTCAGCCACTGCAGCGTGAGTTCGCTCTCCCGCCAGGATGCTGACCCACAAGGCGCAGCAGACCTCTGCCGTCTCACTCACTGCTCCCCTCAGCAGTGTATTTCACTGGATCTGCCTGTACTGCTCCCCACTCTGTCTCTGGTGAATCCTGTCACCTCTTCACTCCCTCCCTTACCTCCGGCCTATACCCCAGTTCTTATATGCATAAATAAACAAAAGTAAATCAAAAGACCCCATCTTTGCTTTATCTTCTGGTACTATTTGATGTTGCTCAAAAAGAAACAGGTCAAAAGTAAAAATATATGGACAGGGATTGTCTAGACTGTAAGTTCCAGAGAGCAGAGTTTCTGTTTAGCTTACCATCTCTTATCTATGGCATTTCACACACAGGGCTCAGGAAATATTGTTTGAGTGAAGAAAAAAAAAAGCATGTAAATTGGTTTAATCTAATACACTGAGGATTACCTTTTTTTTGTAAACCTATAGAGTGGACAATTTTAACAGAGCCATAATGTGAGTTTCTCAGAGCTCTTACTATCAGAGTCACCTATCTATCTTTCAGAAACTCCCTCTGTGAAAGTTTTATAAATGTGGTTTGGAGCAACAGGTAGTTCAACAAGATTCACAATACAGTTTGAAAGTACCTTTTTAGGAAAGCGGAAAATGCTGATTAAACTCTTTCTGTGTGTGTGACAGGAGTGTACGTTTACAAAGATGCGCTCGAACAGTGCTCTGAGAGTTCTGTTCAGTGGCTCACTTCGATTAAAATGCAGAAATGCCTGCTGTCAGCGTTGGTATTTCACGTTCAACGGAGCTGAATGTTCAGGACCTCTTCCCATTGAAGCCATAATTTATTTGGATCAAGGAAGCCCTGAACTGAATTCAACAATTAATATCCATCGTACTTCTTCTGGTGAGTAGAATAGTGCAATTGTAAAATATGCTGCAGAGCTTTAGAGACCCAGGGTTTAGTTTTGAATCCACTATCATGTTGGGTCACTTTGTTACAAAAAACAAAAAAAACAAAAAAAAAAACTGCAGCAAGTTTTCAGCAAATAATTCTTCACTGTGGTTGCATGTCGGAATTTCCTGTGGGTTTTAAAGAAATTACACAGTTGCCTAGGTCTCATCCAGCTGAATTAGAATATCTAGAGGAAAGACCATAACAGGCATATTTTAAAAGAACCCCAAGCAAAATCACTTAATTAGATGGAATGGCACTACAGTCAGTAGTGCCACAGAATAGTGGGTTTTCATCCTTGGCTACAGGCAGGCTCACCTGGGGGACTTTTAGAAAATACTTTTGCTGGGTCCACCCCTCAAGGGAGTCCAATTTAATGGGCTGAGTGCATCTCAATGGGACTTCAGGAACTTTGGTTATTCTAAAGTACAGTCAAGGATGGGAACCACTCATTTAGA